GGCCGAAACAAACATAGCCACACATGCGACGGCTGACGAAAAATGCGAAACAGTGGAACTGGGTTTAAGGAGATTTTATAATTATTAAATTATTCAATTTTTATATAAGTATATTAAAAATGTGTGAAATAAATCAATTTGTAATTAGTTTAATAATAAAGTTATGGAGTAATACGGCTTTAGAATTTATAGAATTAAAAACCTTTAACTAATCCAAACAAACTCATTTCCTATTTGAGAAATATCTAATACGTGTTGTATTTATACATTCTGTGGCAGAAATATATATTTAATATAATTTCAGATTTGATATTAAAATAAGTTATATATTTTTATATAAAAATATAAGGTTTATATTGTTGATATACATCTTGTATAAATATTTTTAATATAAGTATAAGTTATTTACAAACATTTACATTTACAAATAAAGAAATCCTTTCAAAAGGCAAACATTTGGATTTTAATTCCATAGCTAATAATAAGAAATCGCATAAAGTTAGTCAAAAGTATTCTTTAAAATTAAGTTATATATTTAAATATAGGTTAAAGATAAAGATGTAATTTATTTAGGATAAATATTATCTATATAGATATAAGTTATTCTAAATTTCTATTTACAAAGAAGAAAACTTTTTAAAAGGCAACCCTTTGTATTTAAATATTATAGTTAAAAACAGGAAGTTTTCAGGAAGTTAGTCGAAAATATATAACACAAAAATCTATATCATTATCATCTTTAAAATTAGTCTAAAAATTAAAGAAACTTTGAGAGATTAAACATGTTTTGATAGATATAAAACCACTGTAACATCGATTTGCCTCGCCCGCCGCCATCGACATCATTTGGCACATGTGAACACCAAAAGAGATATGCCCACCGATCGGCCGCCAGTCCCCCACCTCGATCCTGATCCCAATCCCAGTGCCCGATTCCAATCCCCATCCCGAACCCCCCTCTCCCATCTCCCCTCGAAACCGAGTTTGGAATATACGAATTCGCTTGACCGCTCCAATGTCCGGAGCTGTCTGTGTGTCCATCGAAGATCCCCGTATGGGGCGAGTCGACGGGCGGCCAATTCACCTGTCGCGCCGTTTTGTTTGCCTTACGCAAAAAAGAAAAACAACAACCGAAAATAAATAATAAAAAAAAACAGGAGGAGGAGCAGCGGAGGAGCTTTATGCGAAAATTCCATGAATCTGATCGTTTCGGTGGAAGCGTATTAGATATTTGGCATTTCGGCTTTCCACTGACTGACGTACAATGCCACAGAGAGGAGAGAAAAGGAAAACCCGGCGGGGTCACAGCACACACGTGACCCCAAATGATCGATGGTATTGCCAGAGCTGAGGAGTCTGCAAAAATTAAATGGATTATAATTATTATGCATGGCACGTTGCTGCCAAAGCCTGGCTCACTTTTATTGTCAACGAATAAAGTGGCCAAGAGGGTTAAAAATCCGGCGGACAGGCCAACATGTTGGCCCGGGAATTGATTTGGCCCGCAGCAACCATTAACAGCCGCAAAGAAAAAAGCCTTGGCCACAGATTCAGATTTGGCATCATCATCTTTTGGCCAGGGAAATAACCCTAAAGCCGCGTTGGATGATGATCATGATCATCATGGGGCTGCAGGGGATCGAGTGGATGACATCAGGTGCAGTTACAGTGGGACTTGCATAAAGAAAACAGGAAAGATGACAGGATAATTCAATCAATAAATATTTATTTAATGAAATTTTCTTTTCTTAATTAATTTAAAATAATTAGTATTTAATAGAATACTTGTTATATATTTTATTTATGTTTTTTTATAGCTTGCAATAAGCTCCAACTGTCTGGCTTTGGTTGAATTCCATGCGGACATTTTTGCTTAGCTTAAAAGACACAGACAACGAGGCATGTAACAACATAAACAACAGAATACTATTTGGCCTTTTGCACCTTTTTGGCATGAACAACTTTTGGTAGTGGGATGAGGCTAAAAAGGAGCAGGAGATTGGTGGTGGAATCTCACCGGGGATGAGCTGTGTGCGCCGCAAGAGATCTTTATTTCGGGTCGAGGCGGCGGCCGATCGGCCAAGACGACAACGCCCCGAAAGGCACAATTAAAATTTCACGCTTTTTTTATACCTCAAGACCGAGGGGATGTGTGACCATCAGGACCAAAAAGAGACACCACCTAGGAGCCGAAAAAAAACATAAAACAAAAACACCTTGACCATTTTTGGGCTTACATTTTAGCCAACGAACGAAAACAGTGCGGCGGCATTTTCGCTTTGAGGCAAGCCCAGAAGCAATCTTTTAAAGGTGCCTGCACTGGGAAAAAAGCGAATGAACTAAGAAGAAAAATATCCATAATAAGGATAAAGCTAATACAAAATATAGGAGAGTTTAAAAGGTATTAAAAAAATAATAATTAGCCTTGAAACTTGCCGCAATGTTATATTAAAATTTATATATATTTTTTGACTATTCCAGATTTTACTACACTTTTATTTCCAGTGTTGCAGCACTGTTGCAGCCGCCACGCGTGCAATTTGCTGTCGTCGGGGAATTGCAAGCCGTCCCCTGGACACAAGCCCACAAACCCACAAGCCAACAAACTTGCTGTGTGGAGTGCTCAGGTCTTCCAGAAAGTGTTAATTAGCAGCGCGCGTGCTAATTACCAATGCCAGTTGTGAGTGCAGCCAATGACAGCAGCAACATGAGCTGCAGCAGCCGCAGCAGCAACAGCAGCAGCAACATTAAGTCCAGCAGCAACCAACAATAAGATATGTTGCAAATGGCAGGCGGGGAAAATGTCAACGTCAGCGGCGCCACAACATGTTTAGAGAGATGCGTAAGTCGGTCGAATGAAAATATCAATTAAATGCGAATTAATGTGGAGAAGTCAAGAATGTGCCCACAAACGTGCATAATAATCTAAACATATTTATTAGAACTTAAATTAGGAAGTAAATTTAAATTGGCTTTGGGAAATGGTATTTATGTTTTATTTATTTTAAAGAAAATAAAAGGTTTAAATAATTCAAAGAATAAATTTAAAATTGAATTTTAACAAAAATATTTTTACCTTCGTAGCAAGAGTAGAGCAAATTAAGTGAAAGGTAACAAACTTGGCATGCTAAGAATTTATTAATTAAATATAGTTTGATATTAATATCTATCTTAAAACTTAACGATGCTAAGGCATATATATGACAAAATTATTTTTTAAAAGATTTGAATGAATTCCTTTATTATTTTAGACACTTAGCATTCGAATTAACAAAAATAAAACAAACGCAATAATTAACAGTACATTATTCTTATATTCTTTAGTTTGCTATGCAATTTTAATCCAATTTCTCTACTCCCAATATGTTTACTAACCAAAAACAACCGCAAATAATTTTAATAATTTAATTTTGCTTTAAAAATGTACAAATGTTTCAATAAACTCCCAAATTAAAAAAATCATCCGAAAAGTGCGCTATGAAAACTTTGGGCACTAAAGGTTGCCAGATCACTGAAATTGGACGGTCGGCCATTGCTTGTCTAGCAGTCTGGCAACTCAATACCAAGATGGTGTTACTTCACAGCACTGCCATTCACAGCTGTTGGTCCGCCATCGATAACAACAAAATGGCAACAAATATCGATTGGCCATAGGTGGCGTTTGCTTTGTTTTTGTTTTGATCGCGTATACGCAAAATAAAACCGAAACAAATATTAAGCATACGCACAGTGGGATCAAAATTAAATTCTAACAAATTTATTTTTATTAAATAAAATTCAGAAAAATGCAAGAAAATTACTAAAAATACAGGTAATTTATATTTAATTACCTAAACATAAAAAAATAAATTATTAAAATTTAAAAAAATAAAAAAAAAGTTAATCGTTTCCAAATTAAAAATCAATATGGTTTTTCCTATTCTTTGCTATGTAAGACACCATCTTTTTCCATTCATAATAGCTTAAAATTTTTCCTTTAGTTTAGTCTAAAATAAACTTGTTCTTAGTAAGTAAGAAAATATGTTAAAAATATTTTGGTACTTGCAGTTCCATCCGAAACTCAACAAACATTTCTTTATTTATGGGTATTTTCTGTTTTTATTGTCAAAATAGCCTCCACTTAAATATAGTAATCAATGCTTGCCTTTTGTAATTACGCATTTAGCCAGATTTATTAACCAAACGAACCCGAAAACGCAAAAACAAACAAGATCGCAAGAGAGGTGCGAAAAGAGAGGAAAAAAAAAAGAGTATGGCAGAGAAGCCAACGAAAAGAGTGTGTATTTAAAATAGTTACTCTCACAATGTTAAACAAAATTATTGTACACAAAGTCTTAGAGCTAGCTCGGAGTTTGCTATAATTCTCACCTGCAGGAAACGCTTAGCTTATTTATTTATGAAATTACAGAATGGCACAATTAATTATGTGTATAATTCAAGTTTAACAGCAGAGTTTATTTAAATAAGTTATGATTTACTACCCAAGGTGTCGCCTAGCACATGGCAGAAATGATGGCAATATTTAGCATTGTTTTGGAAAAACAATTTGGTTCAACAGTTCTGTTAGGCTGAGAGGCGACGCCACCTCGCTCGGAGAGTGGGAGCTTGGGAGAGTGGGTACTCGGGAGAGGTTGGAGCTCGGGAGAGTGGGAAGCTCTCCCTCTCTTGATTTTTGGCCAGAGAGACCACTCGGCAAGCTTCGGCTTTTGGAGAAACCTATAAATACGAGTGCTATGCGACATTCGAAAGATTTAATTTCTTCGAAAGCCCGCTGCAGAGCTAACCAAAACAAAAGTGCAATTTCCAAATCAACATTTTCTTGCTTTTCCACCGATCGCGAAAACGTTCAAACGTTGACGGTACACATTCGCGGATGCTCCAAATCTAGATTGTTCTTACCACCAATAATAAATACATTACCTCCGAAGCAATTGTGTGTGTGCAAAAAAAAAAAAGAACCCCTTAACAAAATAATATATCAACCAAAGCGGTGGCCTAAACAAAACAAAAATACGGGGCATTGCCAAAATAAAATAACAACAACAACAATCGAACTGAGAAATAATGGACAGACAAACCGTCAATTGAAAACAAATAGTACAATGAAGTTTTATTTTTGGATCAGTTGGACTCTCGGCAAATAAAGGTAAACGCCAATTCGTTAAATTCGTAATCTGCGTAGGCCAGCGACCTAATTTCGGCGCTAAGTACAAGTATTTCCCCTCTTTTTTCTGGTTTTTATTTTTATTTTCTCGCTGTCTTGGCCGCTTTGCTTTTTGGTGTTTTTGTTTTTTATCAACCCAATGTATGCGCTGCAAATACGAAAGATGGAATTTCACTGGCCGCTTCCTTTTATGGCTCGAATTGATAAAACGCCAGAGACTGAGACTCTCTGTGATATAACCAGAATTGGTCAAATGCACTTGCTTAAATGCACGTGTCGGCGGATTTTTTCGCCTTTTTTAGCTTTTCGGTTTTTGGCTGCTTTATGTTTTTGTTTTTTGCCGAATAATGGAAAAATGTAGTATGATTTCGTATGCGGCGGCCGTCGTCGTCGCGACGCGTCGTTTACCTAACACCTTTCCATTCTACCGCCGCCCACGAGTAAATTTAATTACTATATGTCTGCATTTCGGCGCCCATTTGCACTGCACTTGACTACAGACACGGCCAAGAAAATAGGAGCTGAAAGAGTTAATAACAAATTAATTGGGAACTAAAACAATTATAATAAAATTTCAATAACTATTTAATGAATATCATTAGAATTATATTTGGAATACATGATATAACTAATTTAGAAGTTTATTATTTATGAATTAAGCACATTTTCAATCATATGTTAATACTAAAAAAGAAGGAATAATCTTTTATTAATCATTAATATCTTAATATAAATAAATATCCTAAAATATATAATATACCCATACCATTAAATCCCATTAAAATATGCGGATAAAACTTTAAGAATAAATCCAAATAACTTGACATTTCAGCAATATTCTTATGGCCCAAACTGTACATGTGCCCTCGTGTGTGTTGGTATCAAAAAAAAAAAAGAATTGAAGAGTTATCAGGCAATCAGTTTTGGCATATGTTATAACACACTTATCGTTCGAATCGAATCGAAATGAAACGAAAACAACGCTGGTAGCGTGTTTGGGCGGTAATCAGAGTGTATGTACCTGTACCTGAAGATACGGTTACGACTTATTTACGGCCTGGTTACAGCAGCCACATCTTCAGACTGGATACATAATGGGATTAGATAGATAAGGGCTTAAAAAAAAACAAATTTAAGATGAAAAGTGCATTCTATCGTCATGTGTTATATGGACAAGTGACAATTGTGCTGGCAACAATTTTGGAAGAAAAATTGGAAAAGCTTTATTTAATAATACATATTATTTGAGGGAAATAATAAGAATGTTTTGTATGAACTTGTTTACTTAATATAAAATTTAAAAATACTTTTTATATGTTTAAAAGAAAGGTCCCAAGTTTTTTTTTACCAAAATTCGATAAAGAATTTTTTGGGGCCAATAAAACTAGCTAGATTTTTGTACACAATATGGCTAAAATGGCAGCACCGATCCCAAAAATAAAAAGGAGCCTGCACACAAGATGCAGTCAGTTATAGTTTTAATTTTGCAGTGGTTAGTAGCTCTGGAAAGGTAAAAAAATAAATGTAAATCAATATATACATAAAACAGTATTTATGCTATATAAAATTACATATGTGAAAATAAATATAAATATCAGTGCAACGAGTTAAAGTTTTACCTTATAAAAGATATATAGCTTTCAGCTTTAAGAACGCAGTTTCTTTGTATTTCCCCAATTTCACCATAAGTCTAAAATAAATCGTACCTCTATTACATTTAAAAGTGAAATTAATTACTGCACTTTACCCTTAATATGCATTTCGCCACAAACAATCAATTTTATCTAAATTATATTTACCATTTATACTTTCAGAGATTCAGTGCGGAGTATTAAACCAAACAACATAAACACGTGTCTTGAACGTTACACAGAAATTGAAATCTACGTATATATAGACGGCTATATATATATTTAATTGAAATTTTTTGATTGAACTTTGATCGAAGGACGCCGTGCACGTGAGATGGCCAAGTTAATCATATTTTGTTGTATTATTTGGTTCACTGGATTATCGGGTGAGTAAATAATGCCAAAAATAGACCATTAATGAAGTGAATCAGTATCGGGAATCGGTTAATATAGTCGTCATTACGCATTTTGTTTACTCTGAACCTCTTGAGATAATTTTCTTCAAAAATAAAAATCGAAAAAGTGAAAACAGAATCAGACAAAAGGAAATGGCCTACGTCACGACAGCAGCATCATGGGGCTATATATATGGATACATATATCGATCGGAAATATAATATGACGTGTTGAAAACTATCTATAGAGTCGGTTCTGGCCATATGCCATGCAGTTTTCTTCTTCGTTTGTATTCTTTCTTTTTGTTTTGTACAAATATATATATATATATATTTTTTTTTGTAAACCCATGTTGCCACGCCAATTTTGTGGTTTCTGTTTTTGTTCTTTTTGTTTTTTGTTTTGTTTCCGAATTTCATTGATAATTCAAATGGCCGCGTATCGTACAAATGTGTGAATTTTTCGGTTGTATTTCGTTTTGCTTTTTTTCTATCTGTTTCTTTGGTTCGTCTCCCTGGGCATTTCTCAAAATATTGTTTATTTTTTATTCGATTCGTTTTTGTTTGGCTTTCGCTGGCGAAATGTTATTCTATGAACCGGAGCACCAGCGACCTTGATGCCAGCTTTCGAAGGGCATGGGCAGTGGCATTACCTTTTGTTTAAACAATATAACCTGAAGTGCGTCACAAAACATGTATGCTTGGGCAGGGGAAATCCGAATTTTGAAAGTTTTGAATGCCAAAAACATAAAGATGCGGCATCTGGAGAGATGAGTCACTAATGTTAGAGGAACTCCTTATTAGGAAATATCTTTTATTGTCACACTTTTTTTGAAAATAAAAGTGGGTGGAGATTAAAAATAAGAGCAAAATGAGAACAAGATCATATATTATGATGTTACAATGAGTCACTGGGTTTCTTTGAAATATTTGAGTCAGGTTTTGGGTCACAAAGAAAGAGTTTAACAATGTTATTAATTTAAAGTTATGTCTAAATTTGAAAGTTCAAAAGGAAATTTTAAGTAAATATAATTATAACTTTGTATTTTATTATAATGTTTAAATATACTTATTTCCCCACCTAAATTTAAATCTATTTACTAATCACTTCTTTAAAAGTACCATCTCGTATCCCTTTCTTTAAATAACTGCGCACCGTAAATATATTTAAAGAATGCACATTGATAAGAATATAAGAATATATAAGTATCTGTAGAATTCGAGTACTGTAAGCTAATTTTTCGCAACTAAGAATCTGCAAATACACGGGACAGTAGATAACACAATCTCCCAGGCACTTGAAATTCATATTTATGTGAAGCCCCATTCCATTTTTATTTCCCCCGTCGCTATATAGACATAGTGATTAATGCTGAAAATAGCTTCATGCATTTCCCAATTTATACTTCATTCTAGAGATGGTTTTTCAATATCGATAGATAGGCGATATTTAACTGGAAATTTCGATAAGTTAAATTCAGTAAATTATTTGATCTAGGGTTAAATATTTAATTTTATATTAATTAATGCTAAAAATGAATGCATATATTTCCCAGTTAATTCTTAATTTATGGATAATCTTAATTAATCCATATTTCCAGAATGATTTGATATATAACTTTAAATTTCAAAAGAGTTTTTTCAAAATTTGCCTTACATGTGATAAGATATATCATACAAATTATCATAATCATACAATACAGTATTATTAGGTTTCCTATTATTTAATGTTTAATAATAAATAAAGAATAGTTCCAATTATGATTTTTAATATCGATATTTTGATAAAGAGTTCATATTTAGATGGGAATTTCAATAAGAACTTCAACTATCTGAGTTTTATGTCTTAAAATAAAGGTATTTGAAGTAATTTCAGCTATTTAAATTCGCAATATTTACAAGGAAATAATATTTTTGATATTGTAACATCTCCAAGTTACTTGATACCCTAGTACTACCGATATCGGAAGAAACATGTGTTAATCTAAAGAAATCTAATGTGCTTAACCTTGAGTGTGGAGTGGAGTCTTGATTTTTATACTGAGACCCAAGCAAGGAGGAGTGCCACACACAACAAACACACACACCAACAACATATGGAATTCCAACTTAATCTGTGGGGCGGCGGTCTTATCAATGCGAGAATGGGTGACAAACGACAGATAGTCTATTGTAGAGCGTGTTTCGTTACGTATATAAACATATAAACACACAGACATGGCCATCCAACTGCCACCAGTTAGCCAGTTAGCCTAGTCAGTTGTTGTTTTTGTTTTAGGTACTGTGTTTGCCAATAAATTCCATCCAGATGAATGCGGTAAGTGAACTTAGAAACCAGGAAAGTTTGCTACCAAGTTTTCCTCTCACACTCGAACGACGGAGCGTCGGGGCGATAATGAAAAATAACTCTCTCAGAACGGAAAGTCAGCCCCATGGAAACAGTTTTCCATTACCTGATGAAATGGCCAAAGTCTAAACAAAAGTGTAAATGCACTTAAAGTTACTTCAACTTGGGCAATTGTCTTCCAAGGAATTAATGCAATGTAATGGATGTGCATTCAATAAAAACTCTTTGAATCTTGAAATCTTTATAAAATAAGTTTTCTGGAGTTATTGCACAGATTTAAAATATATATTTTTCTATATTTATTTAAAAATTTTATTCTTAGAAATTCAAGTTATAAATTTCTCCAAGTGCAGGTTCTGTCTGGCTAAAAATGTGGCCTTTGACTAACCCACTAAGTGAGCTATTTTGGAGCTTCAACTCACCCCTAGGTTAGTTACTAGGGGTGGCTAAGTTGCTTTTGGCCTAGAATTTCCCAACTTCCTGGGTTTGGGTTATGTCACCATACCATTTCCAATGTTTTGTTGTGGCAAAAATGCAAATGTGAAAGGAAATGGAAATGAGGGAAATGGCTGGGCGGAAACACTTTCCTTTTATTTTATGGCGACTGGCCTTGACAGAGGTTTTTCGTTGGTTTTCTCCACCCCCCAAAATGTTGAAAAAGATTTTTGGTAGAGTTTCCTATAATATTGATGACGAATCTCAGGCCTCAGACCTCAGACGTCAATAAATGATAAATAGACTTTGCTCCACTTCAGTTTTCGCCGTGTTTCTTGGCCAGGAATTTATCAGGGGCAATTCTCAAATGAAAAGAAATAAGAATGTGAAAAAGATTCTGTGGCCATGACATTGCAAACTGGCCGAGTGAAAGGCGTCTGTGGGGGGAAACTCTTGATAAACGCTCTGTTCTATTTATGCTCTGCTAAATATCTTTTGTGGGCAACAGGCTCACGTCATTTCTTAATTTGATTGCCGAGCACTCGAAAAGGGGCCTGAGCTTTCTTAATCTATTATTTTTCTGCACTCGCATTATCAACAAATTGGACTGCTTAAAATGTTTACAAAAAAATAAGAAACAATAGGAATTCAGACTGGGGAGAAACTCTCTGGGATGAAGCTTCTCTTAAAAGATTTTTGTTCTATTCAATATAAAATATCATAAACCAAGAAAGGAAGCTAACTTCGGTAATCCGAAATTTGTATACCCCTGCAGATTAAAATTCGACCACTAGATATTAATACAATATAAATTATATTTATTTATATTAAAAACATTTAATCATTTCATTCACCGTTTTGCATTTTCCTCTATATGATATAGTAGTCCGATTTTCACAAAATTTCATACAAAATTCTAAATTAATATATATTGGCTTTGTATTAAATTTGATGAAAATCTGTTGAAAACTGGAAAATTTATAATTGTTTTTCTTAAAATGTTCCGATCGTTCCTATGTCAACTATATATGTATATATACATAGTCCACCGATTCACCATGCTCTGATTTATATACTAGTAAAATTATATAAAAGAATATCTCCATAGTTTCATTTAAATGGCTTGATTTTGTTCCAAAACAAATCTCGCACATCTGTGCATATGATTCCCAACTCGTTCTAACATCCCCGGAACGAAGTGGCTTCCACCGGCCATGTCTCGGAAATGTGTTGTGTTACAAAAGTTGCAAGTCATTGTTTACTAGTGTTCAAAGTTAGTAACTGATCATACATACATACATACTGGTCATAGATAATTACTGATCATAGATAATTACTGGTCTTAGTTTATTACTGATCATAGTTAATTACTGGTCATAGATACTTACTGCTCATAGTTACTTAGTGCTTATAATTAATTACTGATTATAGATACTTGCTGTTCAGAGTTACTTAGTGATCATAGTTATTACTGATTTTGATTAAGTACTGACCATAATTCTATAAATCGTCCGATGGTTCTTATGGCAGCTATATACATATATGTATATACATATGTAGTACACCGATTCGCGATGCTTTGAATTATATACTAGTAAAATTATATAGAAGAATATCTCCATAGTTTCATTTAAATAGCTTGATTTTGTTCCAAAACAAATCTCGCACATCTGTGCATATGATTCCCAACTGGTTCTAACATCCCCGGAACGAAGTGACTTCTGCCGGCCAAGTTTTAGATATGTGTTGTGTTACAAAAATTGCAAGTCATTGTTTACTAGTGTTCAAAGTTAGTAACTGATCATACATACATACTTACTGGTCATAGATAATTACTCATCATAGTTAATTACTGGTCATAGATACTCACTGTTCAGAGTTGCTTACTGCTCATAGTATGTTGCTGTTAAAAAATCCTTACTGATCCTCTAAATATAACAACCGTTTCTCTGGCAATTATCTTATATAGAATGCAGACTAGGATGAAACTCTTTTTGGGACGAAGCGTCTCTTAAAAAAATGTTGTTCAATTCAATATTAAACAAGTCAACGTATCATTTATTCTTTTTAATTCTTTACTATACTTTAGCGTCATTATATTTACTTTTCATAAACAATAAGGTGTGAATACAAGAAACACAGCTGGTTTACTTAAAGAAATAACTTTAAAATTCGTTTCATTTAATGTTTCCCACAAACTATTCTTATAAGACTGCTAAATAAGGAAACATAAACAATAATATTTACCTTTTAATTAACATTAAATTGCAGAAATAAGAAATCCCCCTGACACCTTTTTTCCTTTTCATATGAATTTATTTCTTTTAATCTGATTTACTGCCACAAGGTAAATCTCATTAATTATGGATAAAGTTGCTTTTATGTTTAATTAGCATTAAAGTGCAGAAATCAGTCAACCAGTTTCATGCCAAATTCCTTGGCCATGAATCATATGCGAGAGGTACTTTTATGTGTGAAATGTGGAGCAAAATGTGGATTTGAAAGTCATGGCAGCAGTATCTCCGGGGTTCGATGATGATAAAAATAGAAGACGTCCATGGATATAGGCTGTGTGCACCTCAAGCCCGATAGACATCTAATCTGGATGGATGTGTATCGCGCATAAGTCCCATGCCAAAGTCATTAGTCATTCCCAGAGACTTAGTCATCGAAATTCGCATAAATACTATATTAAAGTACAATATATTTGCCCCTGCTTTAATGTACTTTTTGCTATGTGTGGGATATGCCTTTGCTTTACTTCACTTTATTGAAATATACTATATTTTTTGCTTTACGAACGTCTCATCACCTCGGCATCCACACTGGCCCGGATCAGGGTGATGTTCCTGCTCAGCTGGAAGACCAGTTTCGTGTTGAATCTCATGTCCGGCATGTAGGCCGGAAAGTGATCCGGATTGAGGGCAAAGTGTGTGGACGTATAGTTTACATTCTGTGAACAGAGGAGAGATATATGATATGGGGGAAAGCGATTTATGTTTCATTCAGACCTTATTCCTTTCGCTGAAATCGGTTGATCTCTCGCTTTCTCTGTGTTTCAGTTAATACGCAATTGATGTGTTTATACGTATCTATGCTTATTTATTTCATTTGTGTTTATTTGTTGTTGTTTTTTTCTCTTTATTTGTTCCTTAATGGTGCTGGCGGTGTGTGTGTATATTTTTGAACAATCGTATAGATAGCATTGTTTATTTGAGACGGCAATTTTTTTTAACTAATTTGTTGCTCTGTTTATGCACGGCTCGTAAAGATAAAGATTATGGGAAATTTTTTTCATCAGATTTCAAACTGTGAGTAGGTCAGAAATGGTTTGTTTGCAACGCCTTGAAAGGTTTAATCAGGTGTTTAAATTGTTTCTGGTTGTTAAGTAACCAGCTTTGTCATATATATTTCTGAGCTGTTTTAACGAGTTGTGGAATGTTTGTGGAATGTTTAACTGGCATTTCAAATAATTATTCATGGTAGTAAAAGTTATAAAATAATATTATACAATAAATTTGTCGAATTAAAATATTTTCTGTAGTATTTTAAGCTGAAACCTTTCATTTTATCTGGTTCATAATGATGTTCTAATCTTTTAAAGAGTTGTAGAATTTTTAAATGGCTTTAAAAAGGAATCAGGGTGATAAATGATTAAAGAGAAATGTTTGCCATTCAAAAAGTATATTTCTGTAGTATTTGTGCTAAGAAATGTTCTATTTACAATAAGAAAATCTATATGAATGACTTTAAGTAAGGTAAATATTTATTTCATTAAAATATTGTGCTCACAGTTCATTGGCTTGTAATTAATACCAACTTTTGTGGTTAAACTGAAGCCCTAAAAATATTAAATTCTGCGGTTAAGACACTATTATTAAGGTCAAAAGTACAAGTTTGTTCAAAGTAAAAAAAGTCACTTCCTGTGATGTATTTGTGCATTTGCATAATGCATTCTACGTGCTTTGATTTGCCAATATAATTTACCTGTTTGATTTATAAAGAGATAAGCTTTTGAAACTCACCGCCAATAGGGGACATGCATCTGGATAGTTTCCAGATTGCAAAAGTTTCCTGAGAACTGCATTTATAATACGATTCTTGCTGCGAAAACCAATGAGATGGCACCCATCCACACGGATCTTGAACATTTGCTGGACGAATCTTTCCCGTCGATTGAGTAGCTGTCCGACACTTAGTTCCACCCACATCTTGTGGACAGATCTGCGCAGTAGGAGCAAGGTATTGAGGAAATTACCCTGCCGCTTCGGCATCTCAACTATGTCACACGTAAAGGCCTCCGTCGTGGCGGGATCAATAACCGAACAGTTTATTTCACGCCAACGTATCTCGAAGTCGCGCTACAAGTGGGTGAGGGAGCCCATTAAATAAATGCGCATCATATGCTGCCGAGTTTATAAACTTATAGTCTTAGTCACGGTTTCCCCAACAAACAAAAGATCTTTCCCATCCCCCAACTGCATCTAATTTTGTTTCATGGCATTTTTGAGCACACACGAAAAAAGAGGTTTACAGTCGAACTTGCCTTGATGGAATTTTGTTATAATATTTTAGCAATTTTAAAAATATTTGTTATATTTATTATCAAAGGGAAATGCTTTCGTATTTGTATTTTCTTTATCTTGAAGTGAAACCTATAATATTATTATTATTTTATTAGTTCTTTAGAATTTTTCTATTCCCGGAACTCAAGATAAGGATTATCTATGATTTTTTGTAGGGCTTGAAGTCGATTTCAAACACAGGCCTCCTCAATAAATGAGTAATCAAAAAGAGTATATAAAATATACAAATATAAACAAATATATACATATATTTTATGATTGTAGAAAGGCCAAAGGTTTTAATTTCGGAGGAAAAAAGGAATTTTCGTCGATTTTTACAGAACTAATCAATAGCATTTGTGTTTAAAATTTTACCAGAGATACTTTTCCCAAAAAAACTATATTTCGATTGAATTTTTAAATAAATTAATATATGCAGTAAATAAATATAATTAATATGTCTTTGTCTTTCATTTTTTACTTAACTAATCAATAGCATTTATGATTGATGTTTTAAAATTAAAAAAACTGCAGATACTTTTACAAAACAACCCATGTTTCACTTGCATTTTAAAATAAATAAATCTAATTAATGTTTTTTAAAGTATTTTGTATCTTGTTTGTACCTTTTACTTAAAGTATTTTCCTTTTTATTTTAAACCTTTCCAAAAGCTATCATATCATTTTAATGAATAGCACTCAACTACATTTTAAGTTTCAAAATATCTATTATCTATTTCTTTGTACATATTTATTAGTTAAAATACCTGTTTCTAATTATTTTTTCCCAAGTAGAAATATATTTTATTAGTTTTTCTAACAAGTAATAAACACTTTGAGAACATTTTAAGTAGCTTATAGTTATTTTATTTTTTACGTACGGTTGCCAATGATGGCTGCCACAGTACAGAGAGTACTAGGCAGCATAATAATCCCAGCGGAAAGGCGTCAGTCATCGTACTAACGAGCCACAAAAAAGACACATTGCTATGGCCCCAGTGCAGTAATTATTAAAGAATAATTATTATTATTATTTTGTATACAAAACATATACATCTTTATTTATATATAAATGGAATATATCAGCGCACATCTGTTCGTTTGCTCTCGTTTCCTGTGGTGGGGTAAGCAGGGTTATTTTTTGTCATTAATCAGACATTTCACGCTGTCCCGTATAATTTAATTGTAATTGTGCAATTTGTAGAAAATAATGCAAAATAATCACCAACCCCATCCCTCCCCTCTATCCAAATTCAAGGCATATCTGTTTTTAATTTCAATTTTGCATATTGAATAATTTGTGAAGTCGTGTGGCGGTTGCTTATATTATTTGTTTATTTCAATAAAAGGAAAAATGTGTATTTAATTCAATTTTTTAAATAATTATGGCATTGTTTATTGATGTTTGGAACACTTTTTGGGAAAATGGGAGCTTTAATATTGTTATATTTATAGAAACCTGTTGGGAAAAATCGTTGTATTTGATAATAAATAATCCTTTCATTTTCTTTATTGATATATTTTAATTTTTAAAGAGTTTAACATTGTTCAAATATATACCCTATAAATATAATATTTCGACTTATTTTCTAATATTTTTCCTTTCCATTTGTTTTTAATATATTAAATATATTTCCTATTTGTTCTGCTCAATGCCAACCCAATTTATTAATAACTCACAATGTATTTGAACAAAAAATCAAATATAAACAAGAAAGGAAGCTAACTTCGGCACGCCGAAGTTTATATACCCTTGCAGATAGAACTTCTATGAATAGGAATCCATACAATATAAATTATATATATTTGTGTTAAAAAACAATGAAGTAATACCTGCTTTCATTTCATTCACCTATACATATTATATTTGCAGTTTTACATTCACAGATTTTCATTTTTCCTCTACATCAAACGATCGTTTGTATGGCACCTATATGATATAGTCCTCCGATTTTTACGGAATTTGCCACAAAATTTAAGACTTATATAAAATGGCTATACCTCAAATTTGATGAAAATCAGCTGAAAACTAAAAAAGTTATAAATTTAATTGTATTAATTTCTCGATCGTTCCTATGGGAGCTATATGATATAGTAGTCCGATTTTCATAAAATTTTACACAAAATTTTAGAATAATATGAAATGGCTATATTTCAAATTTGATTAAATTCTGTTGAAAACTAAAAATGTTATCGCCACCGCGATTGTCAGTCTTCCGACAACAGCCACCGCCATTCTCATTCCTCTCAAATTTCTCGATCGTTCCTATGGGAGCTATATGATATAGTCGTCCGATTTTCATAAAATTTTACACAAAATTGTAGAATAATATGAAACGGCTATATCTCAAATTTGATCAAATTCTGTTGAAAACTAAAAATTTTATAATTTTTTTTGTAAAACTTTTCCGATCATTCCTATGACAGCTATATGATATAGTCGTCCGATCCGGCCCGTTCCGACATATATAACTAACTGCAAAGTTTCATTCAGATAGCTTCAAAACTGAGAGACTAGTTTGCGTAGAAACGGACAGACGGACAGACGGACAGACGGACAGACGGACATGGCTAGATCGACTCGGCTGTTGATCCTGATCAAGAATATATATACTTTATATAGTCGGAGGTGCCTCCTTCACTGCGTTGCAAACTTCTGACTGAAATTATAATACCCTGCAAGGGTATAAAAATGGCAACTGACACGCATTAGTTAATTCCCTGTTCCATTTGGCGCGTTTACCTTTCCCCATATGGCCAACTTGGGTTTGCACTTATAATTAATGATGTGCGCTGTATATTTTTGCCTAGTGTATGGTAGCCCCTCAACTATAATTGATCTATAATTAAGATAAGGTTTTACTACGCCTGTCGCTGCCGGCTTAAACGGGGCCGAACCAAAAAAAAAAATAAATAAATACAACAAAATGTACGTATGTTATGTATAAAAAAAAGAAAGCGTTGCTCATACGAAAATGTTTTGTTTACGTAATTCTAACATATTAGTTAGGCCACTTATAAACTTTGGTTACTCAGACAAATATCAAAAAGGTGGAAATATTAGCCGAAAGGTAAGGAACACTAATGGTTAATGCCAGTGAACCTAACAGAATGGCCTCTTAATTGGTAGAAAAAAGGCCAAAAAATATATACATATAAAAAAACCTGAAGTGACGAACGCCTATTTGCTCTACATGCCCGGCGATTAAATTAAATCGCATAAATTACGCTTACTTACGCGACGCGTGAGAGACGTTCAAAATAAGATTGATTGCGTTTTGTTTCGGTTTGAAATACATTCGAAATTATATTCTTCTGATTACTTCTGTGCTCTGATGTCACATTTTTTCGGCTGGCTATACATGGGATTATATTGCCGTTTAACTCGGGTGTGATTAAATCACATCTGTCATAGTTTATTTTAATGTTTTTGTGGCAATGGCTATTGTTTATGATCACCAAAGTGCAAATACAGTGCGGTTAATAAAAGAATTAACGTGAAAATAAATTGTGCTTAAATACAGATGAATTAATGAATTATATATGCTTCGCTGACTCTTTATTTGAAAAGTTATTTCATTAGGAAAATGTGATTGATTGATTGTGGGTTTAATTATTAGTATAAAGGGTAATACATTTATAGAATATATAGCAGTTGGAATTAATATCATTTATGGCATCAAAATAACAAATAAAAGGTTGTTAATCTTATTAAAAATACCTTTAACCCTGTTATTCTTTTCTGAATCTTACTTAAAATTCTTTCTAAATCACTACAATTAGTTCCTTTCTTGTTCTATATTAATGAATTACTATATTATTGAAATATTTTTATATACAAAGAGAATTTGTGATTGCAAAAGCATTTTAGATAAATGCAAAGCTTTGTTTTTATAAAATTTTGCGATTCTGCGAAAATTTTGTGGGGATCGGAAGCGGACACACGGTTGAAAATTTCAATTTCAAGGGAAAAGGCTCAAGTTCTCTTGTTCGTTTACTTTTTTATGGTCTTTATATAAAAGAAAACAATTTTAATTTGCTAAAAGTATATTTTTTAGTTCTCTAATTTTTCAAAAAAGTCTGGCTTAAATCACCGTTTTACCCGTGAATCATCACCAAATTAATTACTGTGATTCATGGCTAGTAAATCACAGTTTAACGAAAAGCTGTCTGTCTTCCTGGTTGTTTTTTTTAGAGTTAGTAAAGTCACAGTTTTATGACTGCCATTAAGACCAGAGTTCGCTTAAAATGCCATAAAATGTACGAAAATATGATAATGCCCGGTCAGTGAACATTAGATTCGCCATCAGCAAATTATCAAAAAGAGACAATTTCTCAATGTTCATGGTGATTGACGTGAGTGGGTAAAAAAAACAAAAAGCTAAAAACTTAAATGGGGGGAAAAATGAAATAGTGTGTACATTTTGCCTTTTTTTTTGAACGGTCTCTAATTACACCATCAACTGCGGGCAAGTTACCACCTTTTGTGGCGGAAACCTCTTTTTTTCCCTCCCGAGAAGACGACCTTTCAAATAGTAGTTAAAAGTAGACGACGACCTCCTCCTCTTGATTTCTTTTAGTTTTTTGTTTTAGTATTTTCTCGTGTAATGTTTGTTTTGTTTTTGTTTTGTTTGGTTTAAGTAACTTTGCATGTCAACGAGCGTGTCAGGAAAAAATGCGAAACAAAAATAAGCGACTGCTAATTGTACTGAAATTTATTTTTCGCTCTACGGTGCGACGGCGAGTATCTGTATCTGGTTTTTGTGAGAGATGTGAGATGTGGCTCCTCTGCTCCTCGCTGCCTGAATTGCATTTTTGCATGCCGGCCTTCGGCTGTAGATCAATCAAAAAGAAATATGGATCGCCTCGTTCGCAGCTTCAAAGTCTCCGTATCGGTTGTGTATCCGTGTATCCATGTATCTGAGTATCTTTGTATCTGTGTATCTGTATCCGCGCCTGCTGCTTGTGGCTCCCGTGGTGACGTAAGTGGGCAGTAGCACTTCTCTGCTGGTGCTCCCCTATATAATCGTCATAATCACAATTATAATCATCGCCTTCGTCGCCAGAGATCTCCGCTAATGAGCCCCGACCCATTTATGAGGCGGATATGTGCTTAGGTAATTTGCATCGAATTCTTTTCTTTCTTTTTTGTTAACCTTTGGAACCTGGAAACCTTCTCCACAACGCCACACCATGTCTCTTTTTTATTTGTATTTTATTTTTTATTTTTTTTGCTGACCCACAGGCGATAAAAAATCATTACTATCCGTTTGGGTCAATAAACTCGAAAACCACACACAAAAAAATATATATTATAACAAATAAATGAATCGACAGAGAGAAGAAAACAAAATACCTTGCACATGCAAAATTTATTGATTAGCTAAGCATTTATATATAATATAATATAATTCCGAAAAAAACATACTTCAACAGAAACTAGATTCAGAATGAAATTTTTACTGTGGCCCGTTGTGGTCGAGTGATTATTTTTGGACTTTGTTGGGTTTTTTACGAGGAAAACATAATCTCATTTCTCTGCAAGCTATTTATATTATTATTTTATTGTTTTTCATTTTTAAAACCATCACAATTTAATTAATTTGATATTACATCAGTGAAGCGTGTTTGTTATAGATTTTCAATTGCCTGTGAAATTGTTTTATAATTAAATGTTCAATAATAATGTATTATTGCGATCGCTTTTAATTGCAAATTAACAGGCCTTGAAAATCATTTTATTTCATTTATTTTTACCAGAACACAAAATTAAATCAAAAGGTTTTATACTTAATTTCCTTTCCAAACAGTTTTTGGGATTTTAAAAGCATTATAAGATATTTTATTTTGTTATTTTCGGATAACTGAAACCCAAAGAATACAAATATTCCCAACAAGCACTCTCTCCTAACTACTTCAGGGTCTTCTGCAATTCTCAATTTTGTTTGTTAATAGACTTTGGTTGTAGGAAACATGTAAACATTCTAATAAATATATTCCGAATGTATAAATAAAGTGATAAATAAACAAGACAACATTCCAAAGGTATTTAAATACTTTGTTATTGATTACAACACGCACAGTTCCCTGCCACTTACAAGGCCCTTCTCTGCGCTTCTCAATTTGCTGTTCAAATATTTGAATCGTTTATATATTTATATGAAATACATGTCATCTATGAATAAAATGATAAATAACAATGCCAAATTCCAGAGGTATTTCAAAAACACTCTCTTATTGATCCCTGAACACGCACAGTTCCCTGACATCCTCAGCGCCCTTCTATGCGCTTCTCAATCAAACGAATACGGGCACGCACACATGACCACACACATGAATAATTGCCCCGTCTGGTGGCTGTCATATAGATCGCTCCGACCTGATAGCAAAAGAATATAGCCGCAACGACTTATATCTATTTTAAATTACGTTCAATTAAATGCGCTTCACCTACAAAGTCTGCGACATAGCACAGCACAGTACAGCACAGGAGTGACGTCAATATCGAAAATACTTTTGATAACCTTCGATCGCGATCGGGGAAGAGTTATTGTAACCATTTTTGATGCGAGGACGGACGACGCATTTTTGTAACAAAAGTTTATCACACCAAAAATTGATAATACCGGCAATTGGGGGCAATATTGATTCAATGAAACGATCGATCCATATCGATCCATCCAATAAGGGGAAGAGGCACAAAATCATTTGGGCTTGTTTCACACTGCAATTGTTTTTTTTTTTGTTATTCTTTTCTTTTGTTTGTTATTGTTATACCCCCATTTTTATCGCTCTGGCGCCTTCTTCCCTCTTTTTATAATTCAATGATAAAATGTCAAAAATCAGTAACAATAAATAAATGATAAACGAGAGTGTCACTCTCGCCGTACTTTGTATTCCACCAAAAATAAATTTCATTTCTCTTCGTTTTGTTTTGATTGGGTTGCTGCTTTCCTTGGAGTAATTTCACCCGAGTGTGCCTAATCAAATTGCAATTTTTATAAATTTACCTCCAGATTTATTGAATAATTAATTCAGGGCTATATAGTTTGCTGGCTGGAATGTGATCGATCGATCGATCGATCGATACAAATATTGAACTTGAAGGGCATTGAAATCAGTTTGGAATTTTAAGGGTCTATTTTGAGTATGCGTAGCTTCAAACTAGATTAATTATTTTTAAATTTAAAAATATACGTAACTAATTATTTGCTTTAATTTAATATTTTTCCAGCTCTGCCGATCATCGACTTGGATGAAATCCCACAGACAGAAAGCTGCCCGCTGGACAGTCAAAGAAATGACATCCTAGAGAGTTGCACCTGCCTACCGTGTGCGGAGGTGCCAACATGTAACCAGGTGCTCGTCGAGGTTTATCCCGGGGATGGGCAACCTGGCAGCTGTTGTCCCCACTACAAATGCAGCGACTCGGAGCCCGTTTGCAATGGTACCAATGTCACGTACTTTCCCAATAAGTGCACCAAGTGCGAATCCTGCAATTCCCATGCCATTCGCTGCATCCAATTCTGTGACCTGTCCGTGGAGGTCAGCAACTGCCTGACCATGCCGAACGAGACTGCAGTCGCCTTGGGAGGGACTTGGACGGAGAATGGTGGATGCACTTTGTGCAGATGTACTTTGGATGGAGAGCGCGATTGCCAGGCCACAGAATGCCCGCTTGTGGATTGTGATAGACCCATTAGGAAGGAAGGGGAGTGCTGTCAAACTTGTCCGGATGAGGCATCAGCACCACCACCACACATCTCGATCCTCCAGCCGTACTCGGGTGCAACCAAAGGACCTGAAACTGCAATTGTTAGCTCGACATCATCGGCTGAAGGTTTCCCATTGATTCCGGACCTACAAGCACCTTTCAGCACGGTTTATTCCGATTTCTATGAGCTGGCCAGTAGTACCACCGACGCCGAGGTTAGCTCTGACGCTGCGGAGAACATCGCCTCATCGGAAGCGCCTCTGCAGGAGAACAACTCCTCCACAAGAGACCTGGAAGCTAGCACAGATTCAAGCTCAGATTCTTCGATGGTATCTTCGACAGATCAGAGTACAACAAATGGTCCAGCTTCTACTAGCGAGGCATCGGCTTCTTCAGTCTCTGATCTTCCAGCATGGACAAGTCAGAGCCCGGCTGAGACCACAAGGACAGAGCAGAAATCAACCGATGAGCCCGAGGTTCAGACACCGGAGTCAACCAGCCAGGTCAAGGCGGCCAGTGAGGAGAAGGTTACCCGCGATGCCAGGAATAATAATACCGAACATCGTCCCTATGTGTCCCAGGATATACTCGATATTGATTCCAAAAACCTTTTTCCTGTGAAAGCAGTAATTCTGGTTGCTGTTTCGGCTCTTCTTTTGGCTGTGTACTATATTGGTTTGTGTACTGCCTTATTTGGAAGCGGTGTAGAGTTGGCAAGAAGGTCAATGGCAACTATCACGAGGTCTCTACCCAGCAGCCCCAGGAGGTCTGCAATCTAAAGTCCTTTGAAAGTAAGGTTACTTTCAGAGATGAAAAGAAGCATTAGTTGTGATTCCAGCACAGAGAAAATATATAGTATCGAACTAGGTCGCCATCTCAGATTATTAATTTTTATTCTTGGTAGCAAAAGTATATTAATATTGATTACGAGATGGTAAAAACTAGATTTTGTTACAGTTAAGTGCTAATTTAAATCTTTTTTTCTCTGTGTGATTTCCATCCCGCAGACTGATTTTTGATCTTGACAAGCTTTCATCTAGTTTCCGCTAGAGAAAATAATACCAAAACAGTGGAAGAAGTCTGCATGTTAATAATATTTAGAAAAAAAAGAAACTAACTTCATCGTCAGTCGAGTGTTACAGAGAGCATTTGTTAAAGGATTTCACAGAATTTAAGGACTCTGTTTCCCTTCCATATCGAAGGATAGTCCAAACAGACATTGAAAGAAGCGAGCCGACCGAGCAATTAAGCGAAACCTCGTGCATTAACCCACAAATTGATCTTAAGACTATTGCTCAAATCAATTAAATAGGGTGGATTAAGTTAAGCAGTAATCGAGACAGTAATGTGATAGCTCTAATTATCAAAACTGAGAGAAGATCATCGTCAGAGAACACACAAAAGTAAACGTAATTGGAAAGTATTAGTAGGAAACACTTTAGTTTGATTATATATTATGAATACTGTACGAAACGCACTCACTCACTCTCATTCATTCATTCATTTAATTTAATTTAATATACGTACATACTTAGTTAGTTCTCCCGAAACGCATCCACAACATTCATTCCTTTAAAACCATTCTATTATTATATCCTAGACATTTATTCTACGACAAATAAAGCGATAAAAAAAACCAAAGTTTAAGAAAAGCAAAATCACTATTGTGTGTTATTATTTAAAACTGGGGTTTCTTATTTTAACGATGCTCGGTAAGTTACTGAGTTCTTACTTGCGAATATTGAAGGAAAACATTTTAAATAAAATTGAGTAAACATTTTAGAATATAATAAAATTGTAACCAAATGAAATGCAGTATTAAATATATTCTCAATTGAAAAAATATATATAAAAAGTACAGACTTCTTTGGTTTTATTTACATCTTATAGTTACAGTTTAATAGTTTTTAATTTCTCAACTACCTCGCGCATCACCTTCGCAATTGGTGAGTCTGGAAGTTCATCCAACACAGATGCTGTGGTCCCCGCCAAGACACCAACTCGGGGATCTATGGGCAACGTTCCCAGATGGGAATTTGAGCGTACTTGGCCAGCTCAGAACCTCCGTTCGAGGAGAAGATGTTTGTACAGCAAGAGCAACTGGGGCATACAAATCTGAGAAAATTAAGTAAACTATAAGTAAGACGAATAGTAAATATACAAAATAATTTAAGTTTAAATCAGGAAAAATAAGTATGTTAGCCTACACTGAACCATAAATCATATTCACATATGTATATGATTTGTCTTGGATATAATATTTTCTTTGGTAAAACAAATTCCTGAGTAAGGAAAGGTTTGCAAACCATATTAAACAATTATGTGTAGAAAAAACAGCGATTTTTGGTGTGCAGTGTCCAAAAAAAGGCCTAGATTTTTTTTTTTAAATCAAATCCAAGATTTAGTTTAACTTACCCACTCATATTTTCGATAATGCCCATGATTCTGATGCCGGTCTTCTTGCAGAAGGTTATCTCCTTACGTACATCATCCAGGGCCACCTCTTGCGGCGTGGTTACGATGACAGCTCCATTGCATTGCATCTCCTTGAGGCACTCCATCACAGTGATATGCTCATCCGAAGTGCCCGGCGGCGTGTCAATGATCAAATAGTCCATTGCTTCCCATTTCACGTCGGTGAGAAACTGCTTAATCATCATGGTTTTCTTGGGACCGCGCCAGATGACAGGATCTTCACGGTTCTTCAAAAGAAATCCAATGGACATAACGGCCAGGGTTTTCGATTCATCCGTGTAGATGGGGACCCAGCCCTCATCGCACATGTATATCTCACGTCCCTCCAGTCCCAATAAATATGGAACACTCGGTCCGCACAGATCTATGTCCAGCAATCCCACCTAATCAGAAAATCAGATTGTCATGTTTTTGTGATGAAATTAATTGTACCTCACCTTATACCCCATATTTCGCAGCGCCAGCGCCAACTGTGTGCTCACAGTGGACTTCCCCACTCCACCCTTTCCGGAAAGCACGGCAATAATATTATTTACTTGTTCCAGGAGCATTTTAAACGTTTTGTTTAGGGAACCGCACGAAATCAATACCACTTCATGGATTTCTTCTCGGTCAACAAGTGCCGTCAGCTGTTTAGCCAGGGTTGAATTGGCGGGGTGGTTCCGGTTTTTGTTAATTTCAATTGATTTTTCTAGCGGTTTTGTTAAAGCATTTATTTATTGGTTATTTTTTCTGAAAAAAAAACCTATTATTTTCCGGAGCTAACTATATAATTAATTAATTCAATTTTGATGTAGTGTTTTAATACAAGTTAATACAAGTCTTTAACGAGAAACATATTTGTTATTTGAGTGAATATTTGGAGACATATATGTATATATATATATTATTTCGAAGTATAATATTTTTATTGACTAACATACCCAAACCGAAAAACACCTACAACAAAAATTAATTTAAAATAATAATGACAGTTTAAACTAAAGCCCGGAGCACCCCATTTCCGCAAACCATCTGGCAACGCTTCCTTATCAAGTCGAGAACGCCAACCGATCTGGCAACGCCACACCGCCGGCAAGTGTCGATTTTTATTGGTCCAAGTCGGCGCAGCATGTTTAATTGAAAACAACGGCCCGCCACTGGCAAATGATAAAATAAACGTGCGCCGAATACACGCGAATCGAGGTAGCAGGACCAGGGCCAGGACCACACCACCCGTAGCAATCCGATCCGGACGCCAGCGAGGCCGCGGGCAGGCAGTGGAAGCCAGAGAGCCGCAGAGAATCGAATGTTGCGCAACCTTCAGTCCCCGCATGCACCTGAGCAGCCCCAACAACGGCGACGACGACGGGAAAACAACAGTCAGAAGCAACCAACCACCGGGGCCATTGCCGCCTAACAACAACCACATCACGCCATCGCTTACATCTGATAATCGAATTTAGCGTTTGGCGATGAAGAAACGCTCCAGTTCACGTGGCACCCCGCCCGCCGGCGAGGGGACCATCCTTCATCATCATCAACAACATCAGCTGCCTACAAACCGGGAGCGGCCAGTGCCCCGGCCACGCCCACAAAGGGACGGCGGGATGGCAGCGATGGCAGCGGTAGCAGTGCGGGCGCCAGACGGAAGCGAAAGGAGGAGATTGCCCAGACCTTTGTCATTGTCAACGAGCGGCCAGTGGACGATATATCCCTGGATTTCTTCTACAAGCCGCACACGATCACCCTGCTGGCTGTGTCCGTGCTGGCTGTGATGTACTTTGCCTTCGTCAGGTGAGATTGAAGTGAATATCTAGATCTTGGGGTTTAATTTAGGATAATCCTTGATCCTTTGGTCAAATTAATTAATAGAAGATTGTTATCATAGAGATTAGAGTGCAAACTCATTTCGTGATAGAGCAAGATCAAAGGGTCTCGCCTCATGTCTAGGGCATAACTCAAGTGCTTTAACCCCTGTCACTCATTAATTGATATAATAACTACAAATCCGGGAGTTATTTGCATAAAATAGTCACAGTTATTATCAATATTAATATAATTTTATGCCTAAGCTGGTATCTATAGATTGTATGCAAATATTTAAGAGAATTCTTATAAAGTAACTTATCTTTGCCTTTGAAACGTAAGAGACACAACCGAAATTGAAAATCTGTATATGTCGGACAATTAACCCTCTATGGGTCCACGTGACATGACTATAACATACTTAAATTTTGCCTCAAAGAAATTTATCAATTACTTTTCTACTGCATTCTTATATTCTGTATAAAAGTTTGGTACCGATATGTCTGTATCTTCTCGTATCTATTCAAGATAATATTAAAATTGTATATTAAAGGACTATCTTTTGGCCTGCCAATATATACATTTAATTGTTACCTATGAGACAAGTTCTAAAGTTACATAAAAATATATATCACAGAAAATACCATCTTATTTACATAATACTCTAATCATACAAAAAAAAATTTCCATATAAACAAGTGCAGTCGTAAATATGATTTAAAGTATCTCTATAATTTTTGAATCAATCTTGCCGCTTATCATGTTGCGAGCCTAAAGAAAAAATAATTCCAATCAAAAATCTGTACCACGTGCGATCAGAGAACACAGTTTAGTTGTTGTTCAGCGGGTTAAACACTAGAAAAGTATCATGAACACACTGCCAAATGTGTCAAGTGAGACAGCCGAAGGTTCAAAGAGCCAAAAAACGAAATATATATACGCGCTAAACTATAAATATAATATATGGAACTAGAACTAAACACAGACGTTATGTACTCGCCGACTTCGTTCACCTAATCGTGCCATTGACCCCCAAAACCCCAATGAAAAAAACGTGCTATGCTGATAAGGAAATACTACTATACACTATTACCGAAATGGAGACCAAGATCAGCCGCTTAGCAGTGCTATTATCTCGTTACAGGAATGAGGCGAATGTGGATGAGAATCTCTGGGCGGGCTTACTATGCATTGTGTTCTTCTTCCTCATCGTCTCGGTAATTGCCTTTCCCAATGGACCCTTTACACGACCACATCCCGCCGTTTGGCGAATATTATTCGGTTGCTCCGTTCTGTACCTGCTGATGCTACAGTTTCTGATGTTCCAAAACTATCCGACCATTAGGAGTATATTCTATTGGATTGATCCTAAGTTGAAGAACTTTCATATCGATATGGAGAAGGTAAGTATCTATTGTTTGTTACTTTACTACATAACATATTCATGAAATATTTGATTTCTCCTAGGAATACGGCGTCAACTGTTCGGACATCAGTTGGGATCGCGTCAAGGGCCACTTGGATGTCTTGCCTGGGCCATTTCTTGGGCTGGGCCTTTAAGGC